GTCCAGCTATAACTTTAAACCTAGCAATTCCTCAAAAAAAATTGGATTATTTTTTAGTAAAGATTTGGTTGAAAGAAGCTGGCTTAATAAGCATGGCCAGAGTAAACTTCACTGCCCAACTAAGGGGTCTCATATGAGATTTTTTTTTTTTTTTGTCTCAAAAATACTAACAAGTTTGACCAAAAAAAAAGCTATTAAGCCTCAAGGTGCTGTAATACTGCAGTGAAAGATACCTGTGTAGTAACAGGACAAAAATCTCTGCTACAAACTTGCACTACAATACACAGAGCTTGTGAGTAGCTGCAGCAGCTGAGGCTAGAGAACTGGCTGTCCGAAGCTCCCCCCCCCCTTTTTGCAAAATATCTTAAATAAATTGCTTCCTTTGTTTTGCTGACATTTTAAATGTTTCACACAACAAATGAAAAAGCAGTAACATGCCATGATATGCTGTATTTGTACATTTATATTGACACAAAACCAAAAGAATTTAATCACAGCGCAGATGTATTCCCAATATATTAACTGCCATAAAGTTCTATAATCAAGTATTTAGCACCTATAATACTGATTCTCAGTTAAAAGTATCAGGTATCACAGGTTTTGGATAGATTTATATATACACAGTTTATGCCAAAGGTGGCAAATTATAAAATCTTAATTCAATTACAAAGAAAATAAGCCTAAAATTTAGCATAATTTAAACCAGCACAAATATCAGTATAAAAAAATTATCTTAACTAGTATTGACAATGCCTGGTAAAACCCAACCATGTAGGCAATGCTGCTTCATTTGTGTTTATGCTATTAAGTTGGCTCTAAACTAAAAATTCTTAGTAGTAGTAGCATTGTTTCATAAATTACTTTGGACTTCCACTGAAAATAAAGACATTTTAATCCTTGCATACTTTACCTTTTCAACTTCTGTGTCCAAAGTCTGAGTAATTTACTCAGATGCATAAAGGCCTGCAGTAGCCACAGAACCCCATAATTTTCAGTAGGCACAGAAAACACGCATTTATTGCATATAGGTATCTACAACTTATGAAAGTTAGACAGCTGGGAAACCAGCAAGCACTAGCAATTTCACGAAGTCTAAGCCTAATTTCTTTTTTAAAATCTGTTCAAGTTCTAATATGGAGATTTTATTCATGCAAATACAGTATCTTAAACTAACATGATGTTCTTCAAACACAAAAAAGCCCATAACAAAAAATTAAATAACATCTATTCCATCACATTGGACCTGAATTAAAAAGTTTGGTAATAAATCAGTTAAAACCAAGCACTCCTGTCTATTGAGAGTTTTGGAAGGTAACTTTTCTAATGAGCTGTTGCTTACCTTACTATGGTGAATAATCCATGAGTGTTTAGGTAAACTAGCTACTCTAAAACCCAGTAAGTGAAACCTAGGTCTTACATTATGTAGAGCAGAAAGGCGAAACTTCAATTCAGAGGTAGGTGCAAGTTAAGTATTTGTCTTTCATAACAACCTTTAAGATTTATAAGAACTACAGCATGTTTGTTTTGGGTTTGGTTTGTTTATTTTTCAGCTGGCTGTGAGATATAAACCTTTTTCAAGTTTCAAAAAACCACAGGCTAAAATAGTGTTATGTGCTGCTCTAGAAAAAAAAAAAAGATAAATAATCAATACATGGTCAAATGGGATACAAGAGTATCTACCACCCACCTTCATGAGACAAGTGATCCTATTCTGTCTTCCTAAGCTAGGAAGCAACACCTCAAGTTTCCTCACATACTTAATTTTTCAGTAGTACCCTAGATATTCATTATATTGACACTGTAATAAGAGCACTTACATCAGTACTTTATTGTTTATGTTACTGAGTATTCTCAGAAATGTACATATCACTGTAAGGGGGAACATCTGTTAAGTCTTTCTCCACTCACCCAACTTGAGGCATAGTGTGAAAAAACATTCATGGACTGTGTCAAATCATGTTTTAAAGATTAAATGGAAATGTTTCTTCTTTTATTCCAATTATCAAATAGGATAATTTGTAACTGTTGAGGAATGTTACTACAGCAAATAAATAAAATCCTGGTTTCAAGCAGAAGGCTCGAAATTCACTTTAGGATCAAGAATCACTTGGTACTTAGCAAGCTTTCTGCTTTTGAAAGTTATTTTAATTCATGGTAAGACTATTTTGTCACATCTGACACTAAAATGAAAAGCCACTCTGGTAGGCATTGCTTTTTCCAGAGTAAGTCTGCTCTTTTAACTGAGCAAGAGATGACAGGCATGTCAATGTAAGTTAGTCTCAATTTCTGTTTATCTGGAAGTAATTCCAGTTGAGTATCAGTTGTAATAGCAGATCAATTTTTTGTATTTTGAAAAGGTTTGTAGTATCAGCATCCTTTACCAAGCAATACAAGCGCAGGTTACTTGTATACAACAGAAATGTGACTGCTACCAACTTTCGCTGTCAGTGAGTGTTCTGTTAGACTACGTCTGTAATTCTGTATGTGAAAGTTTCTAATGTCTTACTTATGGTACCCCATCACCTCCTCCATCCCCACTTTCAATCAATTCATGTTTCTTCTTCTGCCTTATTGCCAAGCATCGTGCAATGCCCAATGCACCTCCTTTTAAAAACCGTACAAAGTTGTCTCCCACCAGAGGACCTAAAGCAAAGAGGTTAGCTTCTTTAGTGCATTCGTAAGTGTATGGATCAATCTCTATAGGATTCCCCTTGCATGTGATGGGCTGATTAGAGTGATGACCTATGCTATGTCCTTGGTCCTTTAGAAAGAAAAGGTTTGGATGAGAACCTATCAGAACTAAGGCTACAGAAAACTTCAAAATTTTCTTCAGTCCAGAGGCACTCTGAAGAACACACTTCATTTCAGGCTTGAAGGAAAGTACGTTGTGTTCAGGGAAACTAGTGTAAGCAGAATGCAGATTAGAGTCCACAGTATGGGACTGAGTACACATCATATGATAGACCTTATGGTATTCAGGGTAAAGCTTTTTAGGTAACTGTTTGAAAATCAGACTTGTATCAGTAACTCTTCTACGAAACACATGGATTACTGGGATGTTGTTGTTGTAAGCACACAGTACTGCATCGGCTGCTGTAAGTCCAGCACCCACAATTAACACAGGGTCTGCCTTCCCACGTAACTTTCCTTTGCTGATTGCAGCTCCAAAGTCAGACATGGAATGAAGCACAAAAGGAAAGTCTTCTCCTTCAACTTGTAGTCTGCCAGGAGAATCAAAGGTTCCTGTGGCAAGAGCCACATTCTCGGCAAAAAGGCAGAAGGGCACATGAGAACCATCTGTTGCTCGCTGATAACCTCTGACTTCCCAGTTTCTCTTAATCAGTGACTTCTGTCCATCTTCCATTTCCAAGTGAGGTGTTGAAATATTTTCATTTAGTTGACTTCTATCTTCATCATCCTTTCCACGGTAAAGCCTGGATACTGAGGTGATGTAAACGTTGTCTCTGAAATTCTTTTGGAGGCCCATGACTTTAACATAATGTTTATAATAACAAGCTATTTCTTCTGGCATTACTCGATCACTCTTTATATTTCTGAAACAAAATTAAATGGTTCCAGTTAACATTTAGACCTTACTGGTAATTTGAGTATCATATGTGATATCACATGACAGTCAAATTATAAGAGGACTAAATCTGCTCAGTGTAACTGACACAGTATCTTTAAATGCATTCAATTTATTTGTTCTCTTGATCCCTGATATAAAAGACAAGCTAACTTTTTTTTTTTTTTTTTTAATAGTTGTAAATCTTCACAATGTAAAGTGCTATGGTGATTAACAAAGTGTAACAAGTGTAACAAAACTCTGCGGTACCATGGTAGGTTTGTATGGAAGGGTTTCACAAAGCCAGTTTAGCATCACGACCACCAACAATACAATACTGGCTAAACTTGTACTTGGTGAGAATACACTTACATAGGATATAAGCAATTAAATATCACAGTAATTGTTAAGTGCTAATTTTGAAGCCCTAGATTTGACATATTACTTGAGTCAATTATTCTTCATTGTACTTTGCAGAAGACCTCTCCCTTGGGTACAGGTAAGTTTAGTAAATATCAGGTTAAGTAGTTCCATATCAAAGGAATGAATAAAGCAAGTATGACACAGAACCTCTGTGCAACTATGGAAACAGGATTATGATGTCCAAGCGTCCAATAAAAAAGATTTTTGCACTGCAATCCTAGTATTACATCTATGTTTTTTTCATGTTTATTGCATTGTCATTTACAAAAAAAAAAGCTGAAAATGTAATTATTTTGAATCAGTGCATCAATTTTGCTCCTTCTTTAGAAGAAAGCTCTAAGGCAGCAGCAAAAGAAACTCTAGTGAGCATCAGGATTGCCACTGAATTACACTTAAAAGCATATTTACAGGAAATCAGGCTACTCATTCTCATAGATAAACAAGATAATAGCATATGTACTTTTAAATGTTCAGGTTACTACTCTGAAAATCCTGATGAGATATTTATCGAAGAGGATAATGCAACAGTGTGACACCTGTTAGACTGAAGTTTAGGAAACTATTTTACAAGATTAGAAGTTTTCATTATCATCAATACTTTAGAATATGTTTAATTGTAGTATAATAGGTCAGCATTTCTGTTTTTAGTACTGTTGAAAACTATAATATAAATAAATTAGCTTCAGATAATAAGCAGCTTATGGGATTTCAGTTAATAAGGAGGCAAGATTACTGTGGTTATCTAAGAAAGCGATTAAAGAACAAAGGTACAGTTTCTTCACTATAAGTGTCCTAAAATGAGTAACAGTCTGCCCTTGAATGCATATGCCCAAGTAATTCTATTTCTTCTTTTGCCACACATGGTACAGGAACAACTTCCTTTAATTTTGCTAGGAGAAAGTCAGGAGACTTAAAATTTTAGAAAAAGCTTATGTAGTGTGTTCCCAGGTTCATCTGCTGACACAGACCTTTATAAACGAACTGTATAACTGAAGTAAAAACTGTGAGTTTGTACAAAACAGTAATTTTTCTTCTCTAAAATTTTTCCAAGAAACTTACTACTAGAAAATAACATTGGGAAATAATGAATAATCCTCTTAAAATTAAAATTCATAGCAACATTTCAGATGCTGCAGCTTTGCCTGCAAAAGCAAATACTGAAATATACAACTTCCTGAATTACAAGAAGGCTAGTGTGCGCAGCAACTTAAGTTGCATCCATGCTGAAAGAGGAACTTTCAATACTTCTGTAGATTTTAAATTCCTCCCTCAGTCTTTCCTCAACTCTGATCAAAACTGCTTACAGCAATGGTCCTTCTTTGTGAAATGCAGCTAACACACACCACTGCGAGTATGTGTGCTTTCAATGCACTCCAAGCAATTCCTCTGGCTGACCACTGTCCATTTGTTTCCATCAGAGTACACACAGCAGAATAATTTCCAGTGCCATCAGACAATTTAATACACAAAACAAGAAGTCCTCCTGTGAACAATGAAGTTTGAATGTTTTCCAGTTCTTAAAATAATGTTACCTGGATTCTTAGAGCAATCAGGTTTCCCAAATACATTACCCATTATTATTATCTTATTACATATTTATCTTTACCTGCGTTTGCTAGCTGCCCACTCCTTAAAGGTGAGGCCAGGCAATTCCATCCAGTCTCCAAAACTGATTGTTAGCATAGAGCCTTCCATGGACTGTTGGGAAAAAAAAACAAGATGCATGACCAGACATTTCAAAAGGTAGATTTATGTAAAGCACATTGAAGTTCTTAGTGTACTCCTTCAGAGCAATAAAGTACCAGAACATATCACCAGGACATTACACGAAGTGTTGATGAACTATTTTCTTTTTACAGTTAGGTACTATTTTAATGAGCAACTACATGATCTAATAAAAGCAGAAGGTGAAAAGAGAACAAGTGAAAGGGAACTAAACCCAATTTTTTTAAAAAACAACAAGAAAAAAAAAAAAGTGAAACCAACAGCATATGAACGAACACATTAAGGTTTAAGATTTTGTATAAAAGCACCTGAAAACAATTCAGAGAAGAGAAAAAAAGTCACAGAAAACGCTCTTCATTATAATTCTTTAAATTTGCACTAATGAAAAAACCACATAAAACAGCAGCCATAGTCACAAATCCCCACATAAAGGACAACTTTTTCCTTCTTTTCTCATCTCCTCAACATATCTGGGCTTTGGTAATTGAACAGCTGAAACTGCAATTGCCACTACTAACCAACCCAAACTTAAGACAGTAAGAAAAACCCCAAACCACAGAATTATCAATTTACCCTAGAAGTGATAAGAAATTTTTACTCACATGCCAAGCCCCACCAGGTGGTCCTCTACCAAGCACTATATGGGGAATATAATTATGTTGTTCTAGTTTCCAGTGCAAAACTGGTGGGTAGTCATACCCAAAGTCAGCATCCGGATGAAGCAACGTATCAAAAAGCACTGCAACTGGGTTTGAAGAGCGTCCTTCGAGGCCTTCAGACAGGTACTCTAGATCCTAAAGTATGCAAAAAAAAGGGATCTGCTCATGCTACTTTTACAGTTCATCATGCTATCCTGATGTACAAAAGTTGTATTTCAACAGAACATACAATTAGTTCAAGTTGCACTTTAAGTAGACATAAGTATTTAATGTAGAGGTTTGATCAAAACACTTTTCAGAAATAACTGCCATGATTCAGTTCTGTAACTCTGAATAATACGTTTCACTCATTTAAATGACATGTTAAGAACACAGTAATATTGGGGAAGGTCAGTATTTGAAATTCACTGTAGAAGAAGTAATATAGGGACAAATACTCAGAAATCAGAGCAAGTTAGTAACATCTACATTTATAGATAGCAGACTGCTTTTAACAAAGAATTGCTAGTATTTCTAGGAGCCCCATTTTGAGAAAGGAAATTGGAATCTAAAAAAATTAAACTTTAAAGATAAAGTAGAAAAAGCTCACCTGACAGCTCTTAGGTAGTTCCAACACTCACTTTATTATTTTTTGAAATAATGGAGGTATTATAAGTATTATTTTTAAAAATTAAAACCAGTATTTTGAAAAATTAATTATAACTAGGCTTATTTTACAAAGCAGTTAACGTTGAGAACAATTTCTAGAAATTTTTAGAATGTTCAAATTTCAGCATCTATTAACCAGTTATGTTCTAAAACTTTCATGATGCAACAGCAAATAATTGAAGAGATGATAGAAATTTGAAGAAAGAATTGGCCATCAAGACAATTTTTGCTCACAAAGACAGGACAGTTTAGCTTCCTAAACCGGGAAAATATCAGGGGGTCAGGGAAAGACAAAGTACATGAAACATCTGTAGCCAAAAGCTTAGGCAACTTAATCTCCTGCCAAAAACATAAACCTTGAGACTTAAGGTCAACATTACATGCAAACAGCACAGCACTAAAAGACAGAAAAACCCAAACCCCAAAGCTCAAGAACCCCTACTTTCCCACTACAAACACATATGCATGTTTGTAATTCAAAAAAATCAGTCACACAGGCAACACAGTTCGTAATAGCATTGTAAGCAATCCATCAGGAGTAAAGTGAGGTGAGTAGAAAACAATGATAACATGGCAAAAAAATGGACAAGTGGCAAGAAAAATAGCGGAGAAGACAACTAATCAAATCAGACAGAAAAACTGGATACAGGGATAACAAATACAGCATCAGCAATTTTGAGTGCAACACAAACACTGAAGGATTCATACTGTGCAGAAAATAAAATTGGGTTGTATTTAGAGGATGTATGCCCCTAATGTTACTAAAAATGAAGTCTTAAAGAGAAATGAACTATTTAGGAAGATTTTAACTTGAAGTATGTGTACTGGAAGTATGTTAGCAGCGTGTGTTCTTTCACAATAGTGCCCAAACACCCTAGGACGTGAAAGCTGGAATTCCTGCATCAACTACTCATTGCCCAAGTGGTGCTTTAGACACTTTTGGCAAGTACTAAGAACATGACAAAGGGCAGATTGTAAAATAAAAAAAACCAACCACAAACAAAGGGCCCTGAAGAACCACAGAAACCACATGCCCTAGGATGGATCTAATGGTCATGAGTTGATTCTATTTAAATTAACAGAATAACAAAACTTATTAATGCATTAGAAATACAATTAAGTAAGTAGGCTGGTTCTTCACAATTCAATCTGCAGATATTTTTTGGATAGGCAGTTCTTAAAATACATTGTTTTTCATCTGAAGTGCTCTACATATAATCTCTTACAGGCCACTGAAGAAAGTATATGTTGCTCTTTATTTTACAGGTAGGAAAAAGAGAGGCCAAGAGATAAAGCTAGTGTTTGAGGCCACAGTTACTAAGCTTTACTGTGGTCTAATTCTTTGTCAGTTGAGGAAAATTAAGCATCTTCTTGTCTATGGCAATACTTATGTAAATTGCAGAAGTATTTTAAACAGGATCATTAAAGAAAGACTACTGTTTCACAGCCAGCTTGCAGTAGATAAAGAGCTAGACAAGACGGTAACCAAAGCTTACTTGATCAACAATGGAAAGATGACGAGCTTCTTCTAATTTCGTATGTAGAATGGGGTTTGGGTGTATAGCTTCAGGAGATAAATATGGCCTGTATCCAGAGAGCAGGTAAGAAAGACAAATTCCAGAAGGTCCATTTCCTATTAAAGAAAAATTACCGCTTTAGTAAAAATGTCAATAATCTAAAGTTTGTAAGTCACTAAATAAGCAACAACAAAATAGTAAGTAATATAATGCAATGCTTTCCTGATTCAAAGCAGCATATAAACTCCACAGTAAAATAAAGCCTACCATAGGAACTTCCTCCTAACAAACTGAGCAAAATCTTCTTCAGATAACAAGAAACGTATGTATGACTGTTTGCATCATGAAACAAAATGCATATAAAGGAGTTTCATAATTTAGTACATCAAATTCATTATTCTTGTGTGAAAATGGTCCAATAGATAATATCTGGTCTGCCTGTCAATCACAGTATATCTGAATATTATTGCCATCTTACAACTTCGTGTTCCCATTTACACTGGGTACTGCAAAACACAGAATAGAAAAGACAATCTAGAGCACATGCTCTTCAGGTCCGCTTATGAAATAAAAGGAAGAAAGAGACAAGCAGAAAGCTGAAGACTGCAAGTCAGAGGAGAATTTAGAGACAGAGCACAAGAGTAACATAAAAGCTGAGTGAAGACAGGCACAGTAGGTAAGCGGTAGAGTACAAGAAACTCATCTGACACCACATGCATTGTTCAGCAACAATATCAGTTCAAACATCTTTCAATATCCTTTTTGCAGCATTCTATAATTCAAATATGTCCAATATTGCAATTTTAATAGACTTATTTTCAAAATGTTACTCAAGATGTGAAACGGATGGGATCAAAACATGAGGTAATTATTTCTATTTATTTGACTGGTATTAAAGTAGGGGCCCAGATTTATAACATGCAAATACAGAAGTAATGTTCATGCTGCAAAGTCAAATATTGAAAGCTAGGGAAAGCTAAAGTCAGTGCTATGTCACTATGTCAGTCAGTATGTGCTATGATACAGAATTTAAATATGACTACATACTGTTACTTCTATAGCTCCTCTCCCTCATTAACTGAATGAAAAGCAACAGTGTTCTCCTAATGAGGCACTCTTGTCTTTGTTTTCCATCTCGAGTGGCACACACTGAATAACCACACATTATTCAAATTCTGGGCTAAACCCAAAGTTACTAATTTATTCATGTTTTTATATAGCACTCATTGTCACAATGTTAGCTCTTACCGTTTGAATTCTTCATCTCAAGAGTTCACCCATTGTTTCCTGTTTCCTATCACCTTTGCACATATTTCCATCACCTTTAAACAATCCCACTCTCCAGTGCCTGTCTCTTCTCCCTTTTCTGATTTGCCAGTCCCTGAATCCCCTATCAGTTTGCTGAGACCCTGTTCATTCCCAGTCTCTTCATACACAGGATCTCTTTTTCTCCCCCACCAGGCTACACTCATCACTCTGGTCCCCAGTGGCAGTATATCCCATACTTTATTATAATGCAGTGTGCATGGACCCATCACAGCCATGAGCTACAAAAAAATCGTGCAGGCTCATGACAGGCGAGTTCTTCAAAGGCCAAGACTGCTAAGTCATAAGAAATCTTCAACAAGCATGTTTTCTCTAAAGGCCTAGAATATGAAAAAGTATGTGAGACTTCACAGTGGCTCCTAGCTAACAATCTAGATTTTTGCACTCCAATACGGAGACAAAAATAAAGGCATTAGAGTGCCTGTGTACTGCAACGACCATAAAGCACTGGAAAAAGACTGTCTAGTAAAGCTGTGGATTCCACCATTAGCATCTTCAAGACAGCTAAATCAAAAGTCTGTAATAAAAAGTTTTAATATTCGTGATCCTGCCTATATTGTTTCCCAAACCACTTTCACTCCTGTTTTGCCATTTACAAAAAAAGACCGTAAGATATCTTTCAGACAATGAAACGCTCTTCCTTGCTCTCACACTGTTCTACCTTCCCACAAACAGAGCAGCATGAGATAGCTCGGTATGCTTCAGTCCAGAAGCTTCAAGCTTAAAACAGAAGCACGCCCCCCCTGTCACCCACTTGACACGAGATAGATGTGAGAGAGACCTTAGCAATACATTGAAATCATACATAACAAAATCATAGGAAGTTATGAAAAGGCTCTAATCATTCCTATAGTTCACAATCATTCCCATGACCAAGTAAATTCTTAACCATTTTTAGAATTCTATCTTGTGCACAGTAAACAATTTTGTTTCTTTTTAGAAGTGCATAGCTAAGTCTTTTTTCCTACTGGGGTGTAAAGGAAGCTAGTCCACTATGTAAAGAGAAAAATGTGTGTCATATCCAAGGATGCCATGGTAAAAGATTATTCCTACTGGTTCTAACTAAAAAGAACCAAAGGGATAACAAAAGTTGCCAAAACTAAGGCTGGCAAGGGCCAAGGAAATAACTGAGCATGTGACTCTGTTAAGGTGAATTACTAACACTCAGCTCCCTAGCCACTCCGTTGGGACCATCCAGAAAGCCGGTCCAAACTCAGCTCCTATTCTTTCAGCAGACTGACTCCAAGGGAAAGAAATTCCCTTGTGGATATGCTCTCAAGAACACACAACATGAAGGTTCAGCTGCAAGGTCTGCAATTAGACTTGCCATGATTTTCTCAGAAAATCCCTGGGGGAAAAAGAACCAAACCAAAACAACTTTTTGAAATGAGAAATCTCTACCTGAGGAGTGAGTTTGCTCTTTATTTACATACAATACCTCCAATAACGGCTCTGACTGCAACTGAGAGATATTACTACTATACAAACTTTAGAGATACAATCAATATAACCCAAAACCCCACAGCCCTGTTCATTTAAGGAGCAGTTAATATTTTGTTTGAATAGCAGCAGAAGCTTCTCCTGATCTCCGTAAACTACAGTACAATCACCTCTACATTATGTGTCTAAATTTAAAGCACATAATCAACTTCAAACATCACAGCCTTGTTATTTAGCTGAAAATTTAAAACACTGTTTTTACACAATAATGATCAAAATTAGTGCAGAAGATTAAAGCATTTAACACAGAACATTCTCTAGACTTAAGAGCTCCAACATGAAATTCTTCTATCCCAACTCATTCAAATGGAATGTATCTATTTCTTCCCAACTTCTTGAGAACAGGTACAGCACAAAAGTTACTTAATATTACCAGAGCAGCTTAGTACTCTGAAGAACTGCTGTACAATATGCAGTACAAGTTTAGAATCAAATCTGAAATGGGGCATCATACATGGAAAAAGAGGATGGTGAAATTAAAGAAAGAGGAGTATCAGTTATTGATACATCATTAACTGCTTACAGATGTGCCATTTTTTTCCTTCTGATTATTAAAATAGTGCAATGAGAAGATGGTGGCACTAGGAAGCTAAAAGTATGTTTAACAGGCATCTCATGGAGAAGATTAAACCAAGACTCTTGTGTGCGTGTGTGTGTATGTGTGAGTGTACAGAGGGGATGGCAACTATTTTTGTAGTCTTCTACTACATCATTAAATCATTTTAGATGCCTTTTAAGGCTCTTCAGACACCCAATGAGTTAGTGATAATACACTGCCAATGGAGATCAGCTTGTGAAGCGTCTCATACATATCTGTGAAAAAGCATTTGGGCAACATATTTTGGTTTTCAATGAGAAATAGTCAAGGCAGCTGTGTTTGGTGTCAGCACATAGAAAGGTGCTCTAGACGAAATAAGTATTGAGCACAGGTATTTGCATAATGCATATCTGCAAAACTAAACAGTGAAAACTGAGTCATTAACCATATGGCAAATCTTATACGAAGGCTGACAAAATGCCAGGAAACTGTTGCTCTTCAGCTATGATGCAGAACTCAGCAAGTGATTCACGTCTGTCACATCCTCGTAGATCTATTACATGAGCACTATTTTAAGCTATCGTGAAAAGAGCTTTAAGAATAGGCACTGTACAAACACCAAACTTTCAAAGTTGTGGAGATTTATAGAGAACACATTATGTTGAAAAACCATTCTCCGGAATGTCTTCTTGTTTGCAGGTGCAGTTAAAGCTGTTGGTTTGCTGTAGTCCCAACAGCTTTGGACTAGATTATGGAAAACCTCCTTTACTCCAGATCTTTTCTTTATCCCCTCATCAAGTCATGGCAGTAAGGAGCTGGTGACCAGCTGTTGCTGAAAAACCTTGGCCCAGTACAAATCATCCTGGCAATCTCAATTAAGCTGTGTACCTAAGGAGCCTGCTCCCTTTGCTATCTTGTCTTCAGCAAGATTTTAAAGTACAAGTCTTTAACTATTAATTGACTAAAATTTGTTGGTTTAAACTGGTTGAATTGACTTGGATTCATTTTGGAAAAGATGGAACAACATTCAGATGTTAGTGATGGATGCAACAAAGAAAAATGCAATTAATGAGGTTTGCATCTAAACAACATGCAGCACACATTTTACGTTACGCTTTTCACTGTCCCATGTGACTCCACAAATTTCTACCGGTATTTTACCTACATCAACAGCATCCATGCAGCCTGAAGTACACACATCACGTTAATTGAACCCTATGTGTTCAATACTAGAATTAAAACAGTTCTTCTGTTAAGACTCAGGTATCTGCTGCCAAATAGTGTGGCTCATTTTGTCAAAACACAATTTGAATTCAAATATACTCCAATGGCAAGTCCCTTAACATAATTTTACATTACTGTTGTTAATCATAAGAACTGTATTACTCTAATAAACATCTTCACCATCAGGATGCTAAGCATCAGTTACTTAAATGACTTCATGCAGCAGGTTTACAAAGGCAATGGCAGTAACAGAGAATCTTAAAACAGTGAAAACACTCACCTATTATGACTACAGGCAGAGTAAGGAGGGAGTCCCCAGGCAGAACAGTTTCTTCAATTAAAGGCATTCTTTTAATCTTCCTCCCAAGACTGTCACCAAAATACTGGACGAATGAATTCAAAAGCTGTCCTTCGGTTTCCGGGCCACTGTAACTTCTAATTAAGAAGGACAGATGGGAGAAAACAAAAATGAAACAGTTGAACTGTTGTCAGAAAAAGTCTCTTCAAAAATAAAGTTGGTTTTGATGCTTTACTTCAAGAGCTATGGAGCTGGCAAAGCCAAGCCCAAAACAGATATGCTTCATCCAAACTACAAAATGTTACTCTTGAGCACAGCTTTTCTACAGGAGATTTTTTAAAAGTCCACTCTCCCAGACAGTCTACAGAAGGATAACAAAAAGACACAGATGGCTCTCCAGAGCTGCAGATTTTTAATTTCAGTTTATACAAAGCCAAAGTATAACCAACAAGCATTATTTTCATCCCCCACACAGCAGAACTCATTCCTCATTATCCTTATCAAAAGAGGAGAGATACACACTGCCTAGCCAATTAACAACATTAAGGCCAGCCAAAGGCTGGAGGAGCAGCCACTTCCATCCCTTCCTACCTGCAGAGCAGCACAGAGGACTTCGCCTCAACAAATTTCTGTTCCAGTAGAAATAAGGCTGATTAAAGCTGGCAGTGATGTTAAGATGGAGAAAGGTGTGATATCTGTAAGCCCTAGATACAGTCAATTTTACCACTGTTAAAACTTTTTATAAAAGGAATTGCCATGCAATCAGGTCAGCTACTGTGCAGCAGACTGCTTTCACCCATAGTCATTTTCCTAGATTTCTCAGTTCTCTCCCTGCAACATCTACTTAGGTTCCTCTCATAACTCTTCACCGTCTAAGTGTGCTTCTAGACTTGTTTTATAGTGTTTGCTGTTTAATTATTTAGGAGCCCTTTCTGAAGCCTTTACAGGTCATTGAAGAGGCACACACTATCAGTTTAGCTAGAAAGGCAGGGGCAAATTAGAAAGTCTGTTATTAGCAGTTATTTTATTAAGCCTTCAAAATAAAAACAACAACTTTTTAATTTAAAAATATCTTGACAACTGATCTAAATTTTTTTTCTCTTTACAAACAGTTTTAATTATTAACGTAATAAATAAAAGTACTCCTATTTATTTCCTAAGAATCTGCATATCCTAAAGCTATTCTAGTATTTCAGGACCTATCTTCTATCCAGGACCAAAAGCGTAAGACACCTATCCAGTTCCCATGGCTTTCAAGAAGCCACGCCCTGCCTCAACTCCTAAAACACTAAATGTTCTGCTACATATTTCAAAAGCCAGTGGGGAAGTCTGAAGTAAACGAGAGACAGAGCTCTACAGTAATAACAACACTAGCACACACTGTAATACATCTCTCTGATAGTTATTTCCTTGTTAAAAAGGATGGGGAGCTATTCTAAGGTTGTATTTATTTCAGAAAGGAAGTATTTGATATCTGTAATCCCTGCACTACCACAACAAAGTTTGCAAATTAGGTGCTAACTGGTAACAGCTGTACATTAGCTCTCAGTGATCTTGGAAACCCGTAACATACAAGCAGTAAGAGTTTGATGAAGAGGAATAGAAGGCAAAGAGAGGGTATCTAATTATCATACTGCTTTTTTCACCTCCGCTTTTAGATAGGCACAGGCGACTACATCATCTTTCATCCTTTGCTCAAAGTTAACTAAGGCAATGCTGCCCTACGCACTGCCAAAGACAGGCTTAAAGGGAGCATGCATGTTTTAGCGTGGTTTGAATATACTTACTGTGCTAGATGGAAGATAAAAACCAAAAGGAACATTTCAAAACCTATTTTTAGGGAATATATGCACAGTGCTGTAGGCTACAAAGGAATCTTTAACAATAAAAATGTTGCTTCTGTGCAGGTTACACTGCGAATCAGGAACTACCCGACTGGTTTAGTGCAGAATCTAATTCTGTGTAGAAGCATACACATACAACACACAGTTTCTCAGCTATTGTGGATACGAAGCAGATGAAGGACTGTTGTCAGGACCATGTTCTTCTTTTGCAGGAACGTCATACCAGAACGAGATAAGATCTTAAGTTAGGGGTCACCATCTTCCTAACAACACTGAGAGCCACAAAGTACCAGAAGTTTTCATCTTGGTAAAAACTCACTGTAGACAACTTTGCAGTGGTGGGGATTTGGCAAAAATATTTATGGCTTTTAGTCCTGCAAAGACGCAAGCAGGCACAAAGATGAGTCAGTTCCAAAGCTAGCATTTAGTTTACCTTATGCTGGTCATACCAAATAACCTGGAGAATTACATTCTATCAAACACACAGATTCTAAACATGTTCGTAATCTTTTTTGCTTTTCAGTTAATTACTTTTATTTTTAACTGATGTGAAAAACCCATTAATAGAAAAAAACCCCAGCACATACATAAACGTTTTTCTCCCTTTGAAAAAGAAAATAATAAAGCTTTAATAATAACTGTCTTAACCTACTGCAAGTTATTTTAATAAGAGGTGCCTTTTCCAGGTAGCAGTTTTGAAAGATACTAGAATTCCTTGCATACTTTTAGCAAAAATAATACATAAACTGACTGTAGTGGTCGGTTAACAGAAAACTCATTATATAAAAGGAATTTAAATTCAGTCTCCAGTTGTCACTTCGGGAAGCAGGTTTAAGACTGTCGGAGTGCTGGGGTTTTCTGAGCAACCGAGCGGAGCGATGCCCGTGGGGACCGGGATCGCCGACGGTGCAGCGCTACCATTCCCGATGCGAAACCGAGCATCAGCGGGCGCCGGCGTCCTCCCAGCCCAGGCTGCGCTTCGGCGCAGCCCAAGGTCACGGCGCACCCTCCCGGGGCGGCCCCGCCGGCCCCTCAACCGCCCATGTTGACCAGATAACCC